TCGTCGGTCGTAAGGCCAAGTCTTTTGAGCCGTCCCCTTGTCGCAAGTCTACGGTGGCAAGCCATCCACATAGTAAAAAGGGCTCTCGGTCTAGCAATAATGTTGGGTAACATGTGTTTCCATCCAACATCAGGATCATCCTTTTTGAGGAACCGATACACTTTTCCCACAAAGTATTTCTCCTTCATTCCGTTCCAATCTTCCATGCCAATAATGATGAATCTATGTCTAAGAATAACTTTTAGAATTCACGACATACCCTGTTTTTCCTGGACCTGCATAATATTTGTAGTTTTGAAATAAAACGCATGGATTCATTTAACCCAAAGAGAATCCTTCTTGTTGCAAAGGTTCCACAGCAGTTTTGTTAAACAAGCCTTGTTCCAATCTGATAAATCCAACACATCCAGACCGCCCTTCCGCCGAGGTTTACAGACAATCTTCCACGCAATTGGGAATTTTCTCGATTTCACCTCGCTACCTGTCCACAGGAAAGTCCTGCAAATAGACTTAATGGTTTTGATCACATGCTTGGGGAAAGGGAGGAAGCTCATCCAGTATGCTGCAATAACAGTAATGGTACTATTAATCAGTTGGAGTCTTCCTGCATAACTCAGTAATTTAGAGCTCCAATGACGAATCCGGTTTACAATTTTGTCCACCAAACTCATATAATGATGCGTTGAAAGCTTTTTACACGTGAGAGGAACCCCCAGGTAACGAAAAGGTAAATCCCCTTCCATAAACGAAGTAGAAGTCAAGATGTCGTTTTTGGTCTCATTATTCACACCCCCGAAGTACACCCTACACTTCGCAGGGTTAACCACTAAACCAGTGGACTGGGAGAACGTTTGCAGATGATCCATAAGTAACTGAACAGACTTGTTATCCCCACGGGTAAAGAGGAGAACATCATCCGCAAAACTGATATCAATGATCTACAACTTTTCGCATTTCGCATGGAAGTTGTAGTCAGTAACTTTGCTTAACTGGTGTAGGATCCCGTGAAAGTATTCCATAGTTAAAACAAAAAGAAGGGGAGATATAGGGTCACCTTGTCTAAGGCCCCTTTTAGCCTTCATGCTTACTAGTAATTCTGCCAGCAACATTGAACTTGTAAGACACTGTAGTAACCGCCAACATAATCCATTTGGTGAATTTGTGAGGGAAGCCAAATTCCTTGAGAATAAATTCTAGTGCATACCAGTCTAGGGTATCATAGGCTTTTTGGATGTCAAGCTGCAATAGACATCTCGGAGTACCGCCTTTTCTGCTGTAGCCTTGGATGAGCTCGCACGCTAATAAAATATGATCATGGATGTGTTGTCTAGGGATGAAAGCAGCCTGGCTTTGACTGATAATACTGGTAAGAACCTTGCTCAATCTTCTAGTCAAGATTTTTGAGATGATTTTGTAAAGCGTAGTACAACAGGATATCGGTCTAAAATCCTTCACACAATTACCACCACTACCTTTAGGAATCAAGGATACAAGAGTACAATTAACAGCAGGGTACATGTTGAAGTTGTTGAAAAAATCCATAACTGCAGCAATGGTATCTTTTTTAATGATGCTCCATGAAGCTTTGAAATTTTTTCCCCCAAAACCATCAACACTAGGGGCTTTCAGGTCACCAATGTCATGTAGAGCACTATAAATTTCTTCTTCAGTGATGGGACATACCAACATATCTTTCTGTACACTGGTAATGTGAGGACCAGCTCTCATAGCAGTCAAGTTTATACCCTCCATGTTATTATTAGAACTACCCATGAGGCTGCCATAGAAAGACAACACCTCATTCTCAATGTCTTCAATCTTGCTAAGGATTTCACCTGTCCCAAAACACAGCTCAGTAATAGTACTACTGTTTTGTCTAGCTTTTACCTGGGCATGAAAAAACCTGTTGTTGCCATCTCCTAGTCTGAGCCAACTGATTTTAGATCTCTGCCTAAGCACCTGTTCCTTAATTTCACTCCAGTAACAAACCTCAGCTGATCTGGTTTTAACAAGGTGGATAATGTCAGGATTATCAAGGTCCTCCCTGAGCTTCAGTTAGGCCTCCTGTAAATTCTGTCTTGCATTCTTGAGGGCAGCAGTGGCACCCAACAAAGGTTTACTAATCTTCTGCACAACATTTTGGCTTCTGAGCAGTTTCCTCCACATTACATACATGGGATTACCCTGATTAGGGACATTCCAGCTATTAACAATGTGTTCTTGAAATCCCTCAACCTCAGTGGAGCAGTTAAGAAACTTGAACTGATGGGTTCTATTCACAGTATTATCAGGACCAGACAGCAGCAGTAACACATGATCAGAGATGCCAGGGGTAAGGATTTTTAGGCACATACTTATGTATTTTTGAAACCACTCAGTGTTAGCCAGCCCGTGGTCAATCCTAGAGTGAATTATGTTGTCACCTTGTCGATTGGGCCATGTGTAATAATCTCCAACCGCATCCATTTCACTAAGGTTACATTTGTTCATCATATCAGTTAAATCTGTATACTCTTTCATCTGCACCATAGATCCACCTCTTTTGTCAATAGTCTGAACAACATTGTTAAAGTCACCAATAAGAAACCATGGCCCCTGTTGGTTTTGGTTAATGTGTTCAATATCTTTCCACAAAGTCTTACGATAATCCATTCTGTTTGCGCCATACACTGCTGTAAGCCAGAATTGAAACATACCCTGCATATCATAGACACCACAATGAAGTAGTTGCCTAGTGCTAACGACTTTCCTGATTTCAGTCTTAGCATTGTTCCACCAGATCCATCTTCTACCATTAGCATGATCAGTATAGTTATCCATAAACGAGCCTTTAAGCTTCATCTTGCGCCTAATTGTGTCAGCTTTATCTTGATTCACTCGAGTCTCAAGCAAAATAAAAATCATTAGGTTAAGAGAACGGAGGCGGGAGCTAACCTCTTTAGTATTAACCATTTTATTCAGGCCCCTCACATTCAAGGACACTAACATGGATTAGTGTTTTGGCTGCTTCCAAGGTCATTCAAAATTCCCAGCAGCCCAAACCCATTTTGGCATTGGATAGTCTCATCCTCATTTTTAGTTCCTTTGATTTTCCCTTTGCTGCTGTTAGTGATCGGCGTCCAAACCTCATCATTCAGTTGGATATCATTACTAGTGTCCCCTGTTGCTGTTGTTCCACTTGAAATGGCCTTGGCTTGCACCCTTTCCTTTTGTGTCTGCTCTTTCACCTTCTCCTTCCATTCTTTTACAGGCTTAGAAGGCTTATCACAGTTATGACCAACCTTATGGCAACGTTGGCAGTAAAGAGGTTTCTACTCATATTCAATCGGCTGTTGCAGTCGTGCACCTTTTTCATCTCGTATTAGAATGTGTGTCTTTAGCTCTTGTGTAATGTCAATTTCCACCAGGATACGAGCATATGAAACCCTGAGCTTGTTTTCCGTGCACTCATCTGTTACCAGCGGTGTTCCTATTGCACTGCCTATTTTACTCAGGCTCCGCGCGCCCCACAGATGTAAAGGTAGCTGGGGTAATTTCACCCACAACGGAACTGTTCTAAGCATATCCTTGTTCATACTGAAATCAGGTTTCTACTCACGCAACATCATTGGTCTATTACGGATTGAGTACGACCCCTTCATCAAAACTAGGTCTTTGTCTTGGAATGAGTGGAATCTAAGGATGAAGAATCCTTCCTCATTATAGAACATATCAGGTAACTTCACAAAATTCCAGCTCTTGCTCATGAACTGTTTCACCGCATTCATGCTGAGGTCCACACCCAAGGCATACATGATGAGGGCAGATTCCCAAAATTTCACTTCCTTTTCAACATCTTCCTCTTCAATTTGGATTTCCATTTCTCCATCAATAATCTTTGGTGCAACGAATTCCATGGTGAGACCCTTCGCCGGATTACGATTCTCATTGATGATGTCAACCCATAGTTTCTTCGTCTGGCTAGTTTCCCCCTCCATTCTTACTTCAGTACTTTGATGACCTAGGTTTTCTGTATCAGGAACTACATTCTCCTCCGCCAGGCTACCATTTTCCACTGAGTCATTTCGCACAACATCGTCCACAATAGTTTCCTTTTCCGTGGCTTGCTGATCGATCAGAGATGACCGCCGTAGGTTGCTTGTTGACGGTGGCACCAAAAATAAATTCATTATCACTGTTATTCTATAATTTGTATTAAAAAAGAAATTAAATTTATAACAAATTAAATATTATCCTCATTAAAATCGCACTACTCATTTGCAAATATCAAATGCATATTAAAATTATAATTCATAATTTCTAATAATGACAAAGTCAAAGGTTATCCCAACATTGAAATCATCCGAACCAAATTCTATGAATCATGTGAATCTCACTCTTCAAAGATCAATGCCCTTCACAAAGCCAAACACCACCTTATCCCTTCATTCAGCCCACAATATTTTTCAAATTCCCATTTTCCCAAACATGTAACACCGTTAAAATTACTTGGCTAATTCCACATCACAATCAATTCCAACACAACACAAACATTAACATAAAACCTCAAAAAACATTCAAACTCTTTCACAAAAGCTTTGCCATAACCAAGTACAAAAAAAATTCCTTTTTTTTTTCCGCATGGCTTTGATAACATCTCAACCCAAAAACCCTATTCTCCATAATCACTTCACGACCCTTCATTCTTCAATTCCACAACTCAATAGGTCTATAGTGAATCTTGGGTCATTCTCAAAAAATTCAAAAGCTATTAAAGTTTGTAACTTTAACTCCAAGTCAAGAAATTTTCACCTGAAAAACAACCCTTTAATTTTAATCCACAAATTGTAGCTAAATCCAATGCTGCAATTGGAGAAGTTGCTTCCTTGGAGCCAGAGGAATCACCATTGAAACATAGAAAGATTTTTCTATCTGATGTTGAAGTGAAGAGAGAAAGAAATGTGTTTTTTGGAAGGAAATGGAGTTCATTGGATATTGGAACTTTTGGTATTGTTTTGGCAATGCATTTGCTTTGCTTATTTGCTCCATTCAATTTCAATTGGCCAGCTTTTTGGGTTGCTGTGGCACTTTATGTTGTTACTGGACTTTTTGGTATCACTCTCTCTTTTCATAGGAATCTTTCTCATAAGAGCTTTAAGCTTCCTAAATGGCTTGAATATTTCTGTGCTTATTGTGGAGTTCTTGCTCTCCAGGTTGAATTTTTCTTCTTGAAAGTGTTCATTTTTTGTGTTTTTTTGCATTTAATTTTGTGTTTGTTGTTAGAATTGGTTGGAGGTTATTAAGTGTTGTTAGAATTGGTTGGAGATTAGGTGCAAGTTGGTTAGAATTAATTAGGTTTGCCTCCATCCTTGAGTTTTTGTACATTTTGTTAGACTATCTGATCTTGATTGAACGACCACAAATGTCTGATTGCATGAATGTGAAGAAACTGAATTCGTAGTTAGTATAAGATGCAATTTATATTGTGATCCTAATATCTCTTTTGTGGTTTTTGTGTGCAGGGAAATCCAATTGATTGGGTGAGTACTCATAGGTATCACCACCAATTTTGTGATTCTGATAAGGACCCTCATAGCCCAATTGAAGGATTTTGGTTTAGTCATATGAGTTGGCTATTTGATACCAAATCTATTGTAGAAAGAGTATGAATGCTCCCCCTCTCTCTATATCTAAAGATACATACAAAAGTTTTGTGCATGTTTGAATTGACTGTGAGTTTGACAAAATCAGATAGCACTGTGATTTTGTTAAAATTATGGTGACACATTATGATTTTGTTGAACTCAGCATCGATTCAAACATGTATTCAATTTACTTGCAAAATGATTGTGTCATATGTATGTGTGCAGTGTGGAGATCCAACCAATGTTGGTGATTTAGAGAAACAATCTTTTTATAGATTTATAAGAAGCACTTACATTGTGCATCCATTTGCTTTGGGAGCTTTTCTATATGCAATTGGTGGATTTCCTTTCCTTGTTTGGGGAATGGTATGAAAATTTGTTAATTTCATAGATTAAGTTGACAACATCTTTCAATTTCATAAATTGAACTTGTGATTTAGTTCTAATAAGATTGAATTCAAATTTGAATGCGTGCAGGGTGTGAGAAGTGTTTGGGTTTACCACATTACTTGGTTTGTAAACTCGGCTTGCCATGTTTGGGGGAGTCAGTCTTGGAACACAAGGGACCTATCTAGAAATAATTGGTATGTTAACTTTTTCATGGTTTAGTAATTGACTTGATTAACAAGTAATTGACAATTTAGTGTCAATCAATCACGGGCCATCTTTTGTATAAATAATTTAATGATTTATTGATTACAATTGAATTGATCTAACGGTCTAAAAAATATTTATTCTGTCAAACGCATATCAGTGAAATCTTATTATCTATATTGTTATCTAAAATTCTTTAGGTGGGTGGCTTTGCTTGCATTTGGTGAAGGATGGCACAATAACCACCATGCATTTGAGTATTCAGCTAGACATGGTTTAGAGTGGTGGGAAATAGACATGACTTGGTACTTGGTCAAATTTCTACAAGCTATTGGTTTGGCAACTGAGGTTAAAGTACCAAGTGAAAGTCAAAAGCAGAGAATGGCATTGAACAATAACGATGTGGTAGCCACATGAAAAACACTTTATTTATTTATTTATTTATTTTTAATTTAAGGTGTGAAAAGAAAGAGTATAATAATAAAAATTAAAGATAAAATACTTTTGAGAGGTTTTGGAAGGCTGTTGTTGTTTTGAACTTTTATTTCATTCGTTTGGAATTATGGGTTGGATTTGATTATGTATATGGGACTTTAAGCATCAAAAGTTAGTGTAGAAGAATTTGTATTTTTTTTCACACCATCTTCTTCTTCTTTTATAATTTTATTTTATTTTTATATTACTATTCTCTCAATTCGTATTATAAATAAATTTTATTTTTTAAAATTTATTAAATAGTTGATAATATATTGATTATTTAATAAATTAAAAAAATTAAAATTTGTTTATAATATAAAATAATGGACTATATAATTGAATTGTGCTAAACATGGTCAATTAGAAAATTTTCATTCAAAGATAAAGCATTCAGGACATATTAAGGGCTTTAATGCATAAGATTAATTGTCATCATCAAAAGTGTATTCAAGAGAGTTTTATTGATCAATAACATGCAAAATATGATTTCATAATTTCTCATTTTTGATGATGACAACACATCTTTTAGGGAGGTGGCAAAAGAAATAACATATATATGTTTGGAGTAATTAAACTACTCGTCAATTAGATAAAGAGTATATTCTACTCCCCGTGAGAGTATACTTCTCTCCTTTTGTGAAAATAAAAAAATGTGAGTAAAAATACATTGTGATAATTTAGATATGCAAATATATTGGCAAGTCGACTTTTATGAAATGGAAATCATCATTTTATTTAATTCAAGGAAAAGTACAAAAGAGAAATTGAAAGCAATAAAATCACATAAGAAGCAATTAGTTCATCTCATCATCATTCTCACTTGATATTATTGGAGATATGAGGTTTTATTGTTTCCATTTTCTTGATAAACTTGTTGATATTTGAGTTTGCTCTTTGATAATCACAGATATCATTGAGAATGTTTGAAGATGATAGAGGAAGGTCATTGTTTCTTCGTTGTCTTGCCCTTCTTTGAGGTAGTGAAACAAATTTTCTTCCTTGAATAACATATTCCATTTTCCTCGAGATGCCTATACCTATTTTGAGTGCATAATTTATGGTTCTTCTTTTTCTAAATCAAAGCGGGTGTTTACTAGGATTTTTGTGATTAATTTACCATAGATTAAAATGATGTTCTCTTTTTTTTTTCTATCCAACATGTGATGAAGCGTAACACCTACCCAACTTCTCAACTTGATTTTCCAAAATCCAGACTGCATGAACAATCAATTTTTGGATGGTGCTAAAGTTACTTTTTCTGGGAAAAGAATATGATTCATTACATAGTGAATTAATCTACTGCCTGAGCATACATTGCCGACATTTAATGGAGACGGAATTCCAGAAGATGGATAGTTTAGAAGGAATTGAGCATAAAGATCAAAGTTGACTACATTACCTTCATCGTCCTTTTGATCGTAGTCTTGTTGGATGAAGGATAGGTTGCAAGTTTGTGCAAAGTCTTCAAGAGATAGAGAATGTGATGCTTCTTGACTTTGAAGCTAATAACTTCATTTGAGAATTGTAAGTTTGAGTAGAATATTATCACTAATTTGGGATACCTTTTTTGAGATTTTTCATAGGAGTTTCTTAGGCTATCAAAGTTGAAGGCTTCTACAAAGATAAAATACTTGAAGAGCTCTTCATCCAAGTAGTGAGATATGTAGACTTCTCTATTGGCAAAATACTAATTGAAAGTGTTATCTTGCTCTTAAGTGGAGAAACCTGTAGAGAAGTAGGATGGTGATGATTGAGAGGACCAGGTTCTATTTTGTGTCATTTGAGGTGATGATGGATGGTTGAGAGAGATAAGTATTTTTAGTGCAGTGCTCAAGAGAAGGTATGGTGGGATGAGAAAAGAATAAAGAGTTACCTCTATTTATAGTCTCTGTCTAATCGATTAGATGAATGTGCCAATCGATTGGAAGCTTTAATTTTTGAGAGTTAGTCATTGCAAATAGCCATTGATTTGTGCGCTAAATTTCAAACTTTTGAGTTTTGAAATGATCCAATCGATTAGGTTGTGGTGTCAATCAATTGGTTAGCCCATTTCAACATTTTTGGTTTTTGGCCTTGTGTTGGATTATCTTTTAACTATTGCTTTTCTGCACCCCTGTTTATCTTTATTTACACATCCTTTCTATAAAATACTTGAAAACTAATCTATTTGTTAGTGAAATAATTTTATTTAATGAGCATAATTAACTATAATATTGTAAAGTATTAATCAGAGTTTTCCGATCATTTTATAAAACAATGCACTACCTCAGAAATCAAGACGTCTTGATAAACCTTCCCTTAAAGGGAATCATCAATACATTGTGGTGTGTCCTTCTCCATAAATCTTCGGATACGAGATTTGGTTTAAAAGACGAGTTGGATATGTCAATCACAAACGTATCCACTCAACCTACAATGAGGTTAACTGATCACTAAGGATAAAAAATGTTGAAATGTCCTTAATGTTAAAACTTGCTTTGATCACCATGGTTGATATCCACCATCATTGATTTATTTTGGATCAGAGACTTAAAAGACCGTATACTTGAAAGTATAATTTTTGCACAACTCCATTTCATATCCATTGAAGCTTTGAGCTGCAAAGTATCCCTTCAAAATAGCTTTAATCGATGTAATCTGAGCGATTTCTTTGCATGGTTGAGTTTTTGCACCTATTTTGATCATGATTCATCATTTAACTTCATTGTTGCAAATCTGAGACTTTATAATTTTTGACTTATGAGCACATAACTTTAAAAATGGAAAAACTAAGAATCTCAACCACAAATTACAAACTCGTATACCATTACAATCGGTTTTTTGCACTAATCATAAATATGTAATTAGCTTTGCATTTGGATGTGTATTTTGGCCGGAACAAACGGTTTTTCATTATGGATTTCATCCACTTTTGCTTCGATTTTTCCAATCCGTAGCTTGCTTGCTAAATTTGATTCCATATTTGAATTTGTGGCAAAATTTTAATAATATATTAGTTTGTCAAATTCGATAATATTTTGGATAATCCTAAATTTTACATATTGGTCTTTGATGATATTATTAAGTTTCCTGTTATTATGCAATTTTCTTATCCTGCGTGTGTTGTTTGGATCGGAGGAAAAAAGAAGGGCACGTGGGCCCATCACCCCATTTTCTTTTATTTTTTGTTTTAATTTTTTTTATTAATTTTTATATTCTTTTCTTTTGTTTTTATATATACTAGCGTTCAGACGGGCACTCCCGTGTCCGTCTGTCCGCTTTTTTTAATGCGCACAACATAGGAAAGTAAACGTGTATATATTTTGTATGAAGTTTTTATCACACTTAAGATTAATTAAAAATAATATTATTTAAATACCCGCAAGCAGTCTTAAAATCTGAATCATAAATGTATATATACCCGCATGCGTCAAAATACGAACAAATATTTTTTTATTTAATTTTGATTTCAATTTAAGTTATTTGTATAATAAACTTTGTAATATGCATTTCTCTCTCTCCCCCTCCCCTTTCTCTCTTATAAATTTGATGAAAGTGTTTAGAGCAGAGTTTGTATCATAAACTGAACAACACGTATATCTCCTGCAAACATGTATGCTCTACCACAACTTTTCTCGTGTTTGTCCATTTTTTTAATGAGCATACACGTTTATATTATAAACGAATATTTTTTTTATTTAAGTATGATTTAAATTAAATTATTTGAATACTAAATTTTCTGATATGCATCCTTATGTTTGTAAGAAATTTTAAAATTTTACTTATTTAATTAATTAGAAGTTAAATTATTTTTTAAATTAAATTTGTAAGTAATATGATATTTATTGTGCATCTCTCTTTAACATCAAAAATAAAAATCGTAAATAAAAAATTAACAACAAAACTCAACTAATTTAAGAAAGTGAATGGTCAGTGTTTCAAATTTTCAATAATTCACAATAAATTTTTTTTGTCAATATTTTTATTTTATTTTCTCATACTTAAAGTTGTGTTCAATAGCAATGTCACACATATAGACATAAGAGATAAAATAATGGAAGTTATATATTTTTGCAATTGTCATTGTATATTTGAACGGTATATTAAGTGTTAATAAATGTGGAAAAAAAAATTTAAAACTATTTTATCAAGGTACGCAATTTTTTGAGGAAATGTTTTTTATTTCTATAGTACATATGAAAGTTAACAATATACGAAATATTAAAATTGTGTGTACAAATTAAGTTTGTGAAAGATTTTCAAAGAGATTTCATTTTATACCATTATATTACAACTTTCCGTTAAAACCATCCATAATATTTCAAAAAGAAAAGAGAAAAGAAATGAGATAATGGATCTAAAAAATGAAATGTAGATCTAAAAATGAGAAAAGAAATGAGATGATAATAATTTGTTGAATTTTTTATTCGTTTATATTTTTATGTGTGTGCTCATTAAATAATTCAACAAAAAAAATATTAATATGAGAAATTGATATGTATCACTCTTATCTCCCGTTCTCATCTCCCCTTTTATTCTATATGTCAAATAATGTTAACTAAATTAATGATTTTTTTAATATGAAAGAAACATAAACCATCTCCAAAACGTAATTAAATTACCATATAAATAGAGAGTTACAATGACAAATAACAAATCAAAACTAAGATAGAAATAAAAATTTAAAACAAAATTCTAAAAAGTAATGTTGATGAAATAATTGTGTATATTCTGAAAATTTAGACTACCTACTTACATATTTTATGATGTGTTTATACTCATAAAATATAAATAAGTATCATTAAGAAATAAAACATAATAACAACAAAAGAAAAAAGTTAAAACTATAGTATTAATGAATAATGTTTTGCAACAAAAGTAAGATATAAATTCTAAAAGAAAAAAATAGTGCAGTAGAATACCACTTGTATCCATTTTAGTTGCATTAAATGCTTATATTT